GAAAACTAGTTCATTTAATTTGTAAAATACGTGTCTTGAAGCGTTGTTGGAACTAGTTCAATTTGACGAGAACACTTATCAACTGTACAACACAGATTATTAAAAGCTCACAGGTTCATTTACTAGCTCAGCTGCTGGTTCACTTTAAGAAAGTACACTCAAAGAGTGGTTTCAGAATCACAGAAATGTTGAAATTGTTTGTTGTATATAAGACATACTCGGATTTAAATGAACGTATAGGTTACGCGTGTAAGTGGTTCATTTAGTGAAAGTAATACAAAAGCTGCCTATGCAAAATTAAGTACACGGATACTTTGCTTTAAAAGCACTTGACGTTAAGAAGACTTTCGGCTGGCATTCCCCTAGGTTTCATAAGAAATGCCATGGCATAAGGAGGCAACAACAGCCCAGCAGCCCAGCAGCCCATCAGCCCAGTAACTCGGCAGCAAAAATGTGATATGAGCCATGACGTTGCCGAGCGCCGAATTCAGACGGTTGGGCGTTTTGGTCTTTTGGTGGCTGGCCCAGAAACGAGAGCAGCCTAGGCCTATATAGTGCGGCTGCATGCATATCTACATAGTTGCCTTGGTGCCGCCTCAAAGTGACAAGTCAAGCAGAGCCAAAGCCAGAGTCAAAGCCAAGCCAAAGCTAGAGCGACGTGGGCAAAGACACGCCACAAGGATTGGCCTCGCCAATGATTGCGCCAACGACTGCGGCCTGTGTGATATGTTAATTTGTTCTAAACTACACAGCAGTGCGCGCTGCGGCCGTTGCCAAAGAAAATCCTCGAGCTGCCAAAAACAGGAAATAATAATAATAACGGCAACAACAACAACCAGCCATATACCTTTTACAAGTGTTTCAGGGCCATATCTATGGCTTCAATAAAGTGTTTATAGACTTGAGGTAACTGAGTAACTCTGGCATATCTGTCTGTCAGTAGAGATGTATATATAGCTCTTATTCTACCTGATATTTCTAATAACTAAGCTCGAATAATGTCGTCGTTTATCGTCGAATAAATGTAAGCTACGCTAGATATAGATATAGCTATTTAGAACTGATATGCTTGACATCATTCGCAATGTACAGGGTATGGCCTAATCGCACACTCTGCTTTGGCTCATACTCTCTGGGTTTTGTTGTATCTTAAATTTTCGTATTTTTTTTCTTCTCGCTTTTTTTTATAATGAAATTTGTGACCCGGTCGCATTGACACGTGCGAACTGCCGTGTCAGGCCCCCTTTGGCGTTCATTTTTCAGCTGCTTGTTGCTGTTGTTGTTGTTGAATTTAATGCGGTTTGTTATTTATTAGATTTACACAAATGGCATTTTGGGGCTAGTCAGGAAAAAGTAAAAAATAAAAATAAAAAAAAACAGCCCAAGACTTTACTATTCCAACATCTACTGACGCTTATCGCCTGCCAGGCGTTAAGTGCTTGCTTGGGCCCGCTGTGAAGAAGAACATAATGTGGGAGAAATAAAAATGAACAAAAAATATTGAAAATTCATTTAAATGTCAGCAGAGTAGAGGAGCGCAGAGCACAGCAGAGCTGGGTAGAGCTGAGCAGAGCGGCGCAGCGCAGCGCACCAAACTGACGCAACATGTCGTATGCGTAATATTAAATATTTAAGGCGCTTACATTTTTAATGCGAACGTTAGCATGGGGTTGCTCAAGTTGAACCCCAGGCCGACATCAGCAGCGCCCCAAGCACAGCCGTTAAGAGAGATGAAGACGTGATAGGCAATGCTCGGCACGCAAAGCACGTGAGACACGCAAATATTTCATATCGAATCGATAAAAATATTGTTAATTAATATACGTAGTGCTTCAAGAGACAAAAACTTTCGCATCTTGTCAGATTTCAATTGCTCAAAAGCTGTAAATTCAAGCAAATAAAATCAGCTCAATTCCATTCAGATATTTCTAAACTTCTTTGCTTCAGCTGAACATTTGAACTGAAGTTCCACTCGCACAACATCATATAATATGTATATTTAAAGTTGACATCAATATGACATGCCCGCTCCATGAGCTCATCCTAAGCTGCTTATTAATATTGATTGTATCCAATTAACTGAGCAAACTTGTGTCAATAGTTTCTTTTTTCGCTGAGCTGCTTAAATTGTGATTATATTCCATTGTTGCTGTCGCTTTAATGCAGGAAATGCTCTTCACTTTACCCACTATCAATGGCAGAGAAAAGTAACTAAAGGACTCCAGCTACTTTTTGAGTGTGTTGTTTTGCAGTGATGAACCCACTTCTCTTATTTTCGCAGAAGTCGAAAGGGAAATTTGAAAATATATTAACTACTCAAGTCTGCCCGACTCTGAAATACACTCTGCCCCTCGCGACCTGCACGCAGAACAGATGAACGGCAGCACTTTCATGGCCTTGTCTTATGCATACATACATAAATACATATTGATTTCCATCGGCTACAGAAAAAGCTATCGATTATTTGATTTGATTTCAGTGTCAATCTCTTTAAAGCTTCGACATAGAGAGACGTATGGACTGCGCTGCACTGATTCAATTCTTGTTTTTGATCAGGAATATATGTTAACACACTTTATGAACACATATTTATATCTCTTCCAACAGCTGACAAATAAAACAAAGAAACTGACACAGAGACAGCAGGCAGACAGACAAAGAGAGCTATACAAACAGCCACATCGACAGACAGACAGCCAGGCAGCCAGACAGACAGATATGCAGACAGAGAGACTGACATGCAGATATACAACCAAACATAAACACACAGACAGAGAGCGCCAATACACATGACGCTGAACAAACTAAGCTAATATACTCTTCTAACTTTTCGAACAAGTAACAAAAAGAGAGTCACACTAATCAAATGCATTGGAAAGCAGCGAAATGTTGACAGCATGCGAAATGCCAGAAACCAACAACCTCAACAACAACAACAACACGCACAACAATAACAGCGATAACACAAGCAACAATAACAAGACCAACATATTTTGATTGCCTTCCAACAGTTAACTGGTTATTGTTGGTTGTGCAATTTAAATCCAATTGACAACAATAACAAACAACCCGCTGACAATGTCAACAGCAAAATACGAGCAACATTTCGAATTCCCACACAAACTTTTAGCATAAAATCTGCATATGTATATATAGACTTGATTCTATATTTAAATTGATGCAACTATATAGCTGGGATTTCCGTTTGATTTTGATCTTCTATTTGGTGGTATCATGTTCGTGGCTCATAAAATAAAAGCTACCGATTGAAGGTGCCTTCCCCAGCTTGCTGCTGGCTTTTCCGCTTTTGGCAACAAATTTTGTGGGTCACAGAATAACACAAACAACGATTATGCAATAATATCAATTTCCCACGTATCTGCTGCACGTCTTTGGCCTAAGCAATTTATTGACATTGGCTTTAAGAAGTCTGCCGAAAAGAAATCGACGAAATTCCCGAACACGAAGAAGCAAATACCACGCGGCGTATGCGTAACGAAGGAGTCTAGAAATTAAAAAACGAAGTAACTCAAAATTGAGATACGCTTAAAGAAAAAGGAACGGATTACTATTTTAAAACAAACAAAAGTTCAACAAAATTTGTTAAAATATATTAAAATTGTTCTCTATTAAGAAGCCTTAAATACTCATCTGAAAAAGGCTTTAAAAAACATCAATATCCATTTCGATATAGAACTGGCAAGGAGGAAAGGCAACGAAGACATTTAAACGATTTCATGTTGAATTTCTATAGATTTTTCTAAAGCACACTGAGGCGCCTAAGCCAGCCATTTCCACTCCCCTAAGCTTGTGACAAAAAACCCCAACATGCCGACCGAACGCCGACCGCCAAACGCCGCCAGCCCTCACTTTACCTAGCCTAACCATAATCAAAACATCTTTCTGCTCACAATCCCAGCTGCCTTTTTCGCTTTCGTATTATGCGTTGTTATTGTTGTCTTGTGAAGAGAGAAATATGATTACAATGGTTGGCACAGTGCTGTGCTGTGCCAGGTGGAAAGCTTGTCACACATATTGCCCTGCCTGTTGTCTGTTGTCTCCTTTCTGTGTGGGCGTGGCACAATGTACGTATATATATATATATTTACATATATAAACAGCTATATATATGTGTGTGTGTGTGTGTGTGTGGGCATAAAAAATGTATGTGCGTATAAACAATAAATAATGCCTGCTAAATATTACATACGTAAGCTATATACCCTCACAGCAAACATTTACGTTTTGTTACGGTATTGATTTGGCTTGATATTTTCTTGATAAAATATTTAAAAACACCTTTTATTAATTATTATATTTTATATATTATTTATATTTTTTATACATTATATCATGGCATGTTTGTCGAAAAGTTCATTACTCCTTATATATATATATGTTAATATACATATTCATAAGTGCATCTTTATTGAATTTGTTTTTAAATTATTATTTTTATTGTTATTGTTGTATATGCATTATGCATTATTTTTTTATTTGGTATATATTTTTTATTATTTTACAAAAAATACTTTTACAGTCAAATTTCATTTGGTCGCCCAAAAAAGGACTATCCTTATATAGAGCCTTTGTCACTCGATAACCTTATTTAATCGGAAAGAGCATTTTATCTTTTTATTGTTGTTTTTTGTGTATCTTTCGTTTGTTCGACGTTTGTAATTATTTTGCGTAAAACGTGTAAATTTTTCATGAACCTTGCACAATGCGTAATTAATTATATTATATAATTAAGCACAATTTAAAAGCATTGTGTACAATTTGTTGTTAACGCACTTAGGCAAGCACGCAAACATTACAAATAGTCCGCAGGCCGAATCATAAACTGACATTTTGTATTTATTAAACAGACCGCAAATTCGATACTGGCATTTTAATTCGTTCAAAGATCTCGGGTTAAATACCTGATATTTAGCTGCGAAACTCTGTATGTGAATGGGCTTAAAGTGCCATTCGAGGAATATTTGGTTGGGTCTACTCACGTGTCACTGCAATGAAACAAGAGTTAAATCGTATTAGCCGAAATTTAGATAAGGTTACGCAAGTCAAATAGAATGAATCTTTATATTCCAAATACATGCATATAGATTGATAGATAGATATAAAAATAGTTAGATTAAGAAATAATTTATATATAAACAGTTAAACAGATGTATGTACTGAACTTAAAGATACCCCAGACGCACCTATATCAACTACCCTTGCTTGCAATCTAGCTTACTTTTATATATTCAAACACCCATACATGCACACACACACACGAATACTAATAAACACACACTAAGCCTTTAGACTGAGCTTCCTCTTGCTCTCAGCTCCACTACCTGACAAAATGTCCCCTTAAATAAACATTTCGGCATCAGAATATAGAAAGCAAACGACTCTATATATATAAGTGGGTATTTTACTACAATATAAATCTGTTAAGGTTAGTCGATGTATTTCTTTTCTGCACTCACAGTTAACGCCTTTTGTAGAGGCTGCACACATTAGACGCACAAAATCAATTGCAGCTTTTAAGCTATAGGGAACACCCCTACTGGCAGTCATATTATAGCGCAGAGCTTACAGACGACTTAATTTTATACATTTCCTATATTTACAGAGGACACAAATACTATTTATATATATATATATATATATACATATGCACTTTATATAAATGTCATCTAAAATAATTAAAGGCTATATAGGAAATAATGTTTGAATACAATTAAATAAATAATATACACATAATAAACAAAAACATTAAATGCATTTTCTATATATATATATATATATATGTGTATATACATATGTAAATCAAATTTCGAGTGCAGTCACAAATTTGTGTGCAGTTGATGGTTATTTATAGGACTTTGCATTAAGTTGTCAACGTTGCAAACTTTTTTCACACGTCAATTTCACTTAAAGTGCTGTTAGTTGTGAAGCTCTATATATGTGTGCATGTGTATGTATTTGTTTTTATAGTCAGCTTAGACAGCTTGTCAAGATTTTCTTTAAAAAAAAGACAAAGTATAAATATTGTTTATGGAATATGACTAGAAGTTGCAATAAAACCATTTTCAATTGGCAATTTCCATTCAATAAATCTTAATAAATTTAATTTTTGCAACTATATGATATATAGTAAACTATAAACTATATGATATATAGTAAAGTAAAAATCATTAACATTAATTTTAAATAATTTAATTTAACTTAAAAATTTTTAATTTAAATTTGTTTAAAAATTGATATACAAATGCAAAAATAATTTTCATTATTTTTACAACATTTCTATATAGCACATATGCAAGTAATGTTTTTAAATTTTTTTAACCTTTTCTTTCCTTTTTATACTTGCTTTGAATCTAAAAATTACTCTGCATTGGCTTCGGCTGCTCTCAACTACTTGTATTCACTGGCTCAATGCGATTCGCCTCGAACACGCTCTCTATATATTTGCAATGTATATTTAATGCCTGAGTCTTGCTTTTTTTTACAACTTAACGAATTTAAAAATGAGAAAAACTTAAACTTTCTGAAAGCTGAAGGTCAAAGCGTTTTGGCCTGTCAACGCGTTGTTGTTCCAGCTGCTTTTGATGCTGCAGGCAGCAAATATTTCTACAGGCGCCAGAAATGTACGAGGCATGTGCAAAGACCAGCAAGCGCACACACCCCCGCACATATGCACTCACACACCCTTACACACTGGCGAGTCAAAGGGAAGATGCAGCAAAGTATTTGACGCTCATGGCTTTGTTTGCCAACAATTTCTAAGCGCATATTTACTTCAAATTTTTGGACCATACTTTGTTGCTGTTGCACTTCATGTTGCAATATTGCAAAATTGTTATTGTTGTTGTTGCTGTTGCTGTTGCTGTTGGCGTTTATTTCATATTTTTTGAGAGTGGGCAGCAGATGCATTTTGCATTTTGCACTTCGCATTTCACATGCTGCATGCATATTTCGGTGGCTGCAACTTAATGCGGCACTAACCCCATCATTTTATGTGCTTTGGCGACGCTATTCGCCAGTCAAGCGGTGGCAAGCGCTAAGAAGCCACTTGCAAGGCACGAATACCGCATAAAAACTTTCAACATTTCACTTTTAATAATGAACGAAGACTATGGGCCAGGCACCAAAAGTATTTGAAAGCTAAGCGAAATCTTGTCGAATGCGACAAATTTGGGGCCACATCATCTCTGCCTTTGTATGCCATAGATGAGCAAGATTATCAGTCTCATAGATAAACAAAGCTCGAATCAATTTACTTGCACGATGAACTCAAAGCTTCGATTCCTCCAAAAAGTCTGTTTTCATATAAGACACAAATATTTATTAGGAGTTGAGAAATGATTCATTAATATAGTAAATGATTCCTTATTACTATTTATTCCAAATATACATTTTGAGCATAAGCTTACGATCGATTGTGGACTGTAAAATTGGAAACTCAGTCTTTAAGTCAGAAAAAAAATAAATTTTAGACATATAATATAAAGTATAGCATATTAAGTATACGTTTATTAAGTATACACTTATTAAGTATACGCACATTAAGCACACTCGTATTAAGTAAACGCATATTAAGTATACGCATATTATATTATATATATTATATTTAAAAATAGGATGAGGAACATGGCAATAGAGCTTCTCGAATGGAATAAATTATCAAGAATATTTTGTATTTGCATTATCAATTCATTATTTTAAAAATAATATTTACATTATATTCTTTTTTCTTTGTATCATATTCTGTTTTTATATATACTTTATATCTCTTATGCTATTCTGCTAGCTTTATTGTTATGTAGCTTGTCTTACAGCTCAAAAGCCTATTAATAAAATTGAATAATTTGATAACTTTTTTGTTATGAAACATTTTTATCTTTTGTAAATTCAAATGTTGTTAAACAAGCAGAAGACACTAAGCTGGCTTTAGCAGAGTTAAACGTAGGTTTCCCCACAGCAAAATGAAATCCGTAACAAACTCTAAGCCGATTTGAACCAACGAACTTACACCTATAACTAGCAATATCAGAATATGTTACAGTACATAACTAAGACAAAGGTTTCAGTGGCATTTGCTAAAAGAGAAATCTAAGCCAACAGCTCTCGAAGAAGTCTCCTAGCACATCAATTGACGCTGAAGTAGACTAGAAAATCACTCAAAAAAGTTGACAGACAGCAGTAGACTAAAACGATTACAGCGACTAGAGCCAACCTGAATGGCCATCTAATATTAAATTTTTGCTTTATATATTGTAGCCTTCTCATAGTATAAACCAATATTTTACCTCAAATCAATTAAAACCGACATCAAGCTTGTCTAGATACGCCCAAAGTGTACAACTTTCTGTTTCTGCTCGCCCTGCGTCGGCTTCAGTTTATTTTGCTCTTCACTTGTTTTTTATAGTTTTTGCATTTCAAATATTTGAAGACAAACTGTTGGTATTTTTTAGCCAAAGATAAACTAATAAATTAATGTTTATCTCTTTAATGAGATAATTTCGTTGGGATTAAGATCAAAACAGCAGCTGCTTGGAGGTGCTCCCTCCTAATCTTATTACTGTCTCGTGCTTTTTATCAATTTAAGTATTTTTGAGTTCAGTTCTTTTAGCGGCGCTTGCAGCCCTCCACGTGCTCCGATATGTATAAATTTTGGGTGTAGCAACAATGTTATGCATATTTCATTTGTTATCGTTGCGACAGCAAGATAAAACACTACACACACACACACACACATAGACATTAAAGAGGGGGCACGTGTGCATATGGAATACGTTTTTCGGGTCGATTTCAGCGTTGGACCTGATGCAAAGGTCAACAAATGCAGTAAAATGCAACCAAAAAAAGGCTTAAAGCTTATGATTAATTATGAAATGTTGAATAAGAGACACAAAAAGCCAAAGCCAGGCTAAAGCAATATTTATTGCAATGCACTTTGCACTGAGACTGACACACAAAGCCAAGGGACAATTGCAGAATCATGCAAAAATATTTGAATGCAGTCTGCTCTAGCTGTATATTTAAAGCTCTGAAGCCCTAGCGGATCAGCCACCCAATCAATCACTCAGTAAACATTTAGGATTATGAGTCGGTCAGCTTAGATTTCACTCGAATACTGCTGCGTCAATCAATCAATCTATCAATCAATGATCAAAGTTAGCTGTCAGTCTAATACTTTACTTATGTCAGTACATCACTCATCAATCATTCAGTAACTTATTTGACTTGCCGTCAATCATCAGCTACCAATTTGTCAATCATTTACTACGTCTATTACTTTTTTTTTGACTGTCGTCCAAATGATGTCTATCAATCAGTATCAGTCAATCACTATCAATCAATTTAATTTTCTATGTAAGCCATTTTTCTACAAATCAATCTGTCAATCTATAAATATATATACATATATAACTTATGCAATCAATCAATCAGTCAATTATCAATTTCTGTAGATACTAAGATAACCATCTTTATACCATTTAGTCCATCATTCACTCAATCAACTACCAACTTGTTTCATTTAGTCTATCAATCAATATCAATTAATCAATCAGTTTGTATTTCAATCCATTATTAAGACTTACAGCTTCTCTATCATTCTATCCGTCCATGTGTCTGTCAATCAATCAATCAGTCAATCAAAATTCAATAAGTTGATCAGTCATATTTGGTCAGTCATAACAGTTAAGAGTACGACATTAACGAAATGACACAGGCGACAGAAAATGAGACACACACAGAGAAAGAGAAGAACAAAAAAGAGAGAGAAGAAGAGAGAGGTATACCAATTTAACAGCTGCCGCTCAATTAACAGGCTTAAAATAAAGTCAGTCGCAAATATTTACATCGACATCAGCTGGAGAATGGTAAATACTTGGCTAGGGCAAGTGTGGAATGAGGTGTGTGAATGTGGGTGTGTGTATGCGTGTGTGTGTGTGTGACGAATGGTGGCTGGCGGTAGCTGTGCCCGATGTGACTGTTGCTATCGTCC